AAAAATAGAGAAATAATATCTATATTTTTTAGGTTGAGTTGGATTATGAATTTCATTTTTTTCAGAAGTATAAAGAAATGCCATCTGTGTGTCGATATTGATATCGTTCTCCGGTTGTTATCCTCTTCCTCTTTCCTTCTTATCCTCCCCCTATTGATGTGTATTCATTTTTCTTTCACTCTTCTATATAAGCGCATGTTGTACATGGTGTAGGTATACTCTAAAGATATGAAGTAGCAAAACAAACAAACTTCACTGTTGAGGGTGCCGGCAAAGCTACTTTTCCAGTGCGTCGTTAAAATCTGTATTTTTTGGCTTGGATTGGAACAAAAAATTCATTTTTTCTCATGAATAACTATGAATGAAAATGAATTTACTAAACCATCACATCCTCAAACATATACACGTCATTTCTATTTTTATTTTGTGAAGTCCGATATAAAAGAAGTGTCGAAGTATATAGGGTAGAAACTTGCACCCCTCACCCATTACAGACGTGACGGACATCTTAGCAACATCGCTCCCGTCAGAGTCGTGACAGACAGACTCAATAAGGTCCCCCCACAAAATTTATTAATTATAATTAATTAATAACTTTTCTTACTATTTTTCGGGTATTTTTTACGGAAAAACTGTCGCTTTTGTCTAAAAAATATGCTATATATCATATAATGCACAGCGATTTCTGAAGAAAACAGTAAAAAGGCAGTATCTAACTAATTATTAATTAATCTATTCGAAAAATTCTGCATCTAATAATTAATTAGTGCACGGCCTTCTAATAGAGTCGAAGAACTTTTGTTCAAACATGGTCTTATATTGAGGGAGACTATTTATGAAGGGGAGTTTCCCTATACTAATGACATTTCTTGAGATCGAAAGCCAATAATTTCAGTCTTGTCCTACGCAAAAAATGACAGTGTCTTAACGTATATTCTTGATGGTTTTTCATTCATAAAGTGTTGACTAGCGCTAGAACTAATGACATATTCTGAAAGCTCGTGGTGAGTTCTACAAATCTAGCTATAAAAAACAATTTAAAAAAAATCCCCAACGTGATAAAAAAATCGATTTCCTTATGCTAAATGACGTTAAAGAGCTAATATTTGATATTGTTGCTATGGTTTCTCGGAAACTTGATTTTTTCCGAAGTGAATGGCCATTTTTAGAGTAGTAAAAAAAAATAAAAATTATCAAAATTGGTTGAGTAGAATCCGACTTATGAGCATTTTCTTTTCGAAAGCCAACAGTACAATGAGCGCGCTCTTCACTCATATATAAGTAGACAGAAACAGGTGAGACATGTTGTGAAAAGACCTTTTACACGTAGATTAGTTTATGTAGCATTAATATGAGATCCGTCTGTTAATGTACAAAGAAAAAACGAAAAAAGTCCTTCATACTAGGCAGAGAATATATACCCTTTTTCACTTTTCATTCCACCAATCATGAGATTCTGAAATGAAATTCATTTCTATCCTTCTTTCAGACTACTTCAGTTCAATCTTTTTATGCAGAAAATTTGCTTCTTTCTAATATTACAGTTCTGCGTAGGACGTCAGCTACATCAGTTAATGTGAGAGTGGTAATTAAATTAAAACGCATTCCTACTGAATCGAAGACCATTTTTTTTAATTAAGTATATTACGAGCCTTCGATATATAAATGGTTTGATTATGTTTTGTTTTTCTATGTTAAACAAAGAAAATTTAAAAAACATAAAAATATCTTCCTCGCTAGTTATAACATCTTTTTCTTTGTTTACTTCTTTTGCTTTGATGATTATATACTGACTAAAACTGCAACAATTTAACTAAAAATCAAATTGAATCGAACAGAAAGTGAAGTTGATTGGCGATGGTGTGAACCATACCCTTATCTGAAGGATATGATAAGAAAACAAGCGATTCAAATACTCTCGGATTGCGATAAAAAAGGTGTAGAAGATGCTGTCAACTGATTTAGCTGTAAACGTGATAGATACTATGAAAAGAACTGTAGACTATTTGATTAAACTAAAAAGCTGCTAATACTATATCCCTATTTCATAACAGAGTTCACGCAAAATTAGACAGCACGACAGGAAAAAAAGGATGCGAAAGGTTCTACTCATGTTGCAGGTCCCTCGCAGTTTTTTGTCGAAAAGTAAAGACTGTAGACCACTAGCTAAGTTGTTATTCATTACTTATTTAGGACAAAGCCGAATTTTATCAAATCAAATGCTAACAATAATAAGTATAAATTGATAAATTGACATACCAAAATCTATATCTAGCATGGCTGCTTGGGCGCCTTCGACAAGAATTCTTTTTGAGCTATGCAAGATACAGTTGTTCAAATAAGTAATTGTATCGATTGTGATTGGATGAAAATATTCAGCAAGATATTTGAATTTTTCGATCATGTCTTCTACGTTGATTATCAGATCGGGAAATGTTAGTCTATAGTCATTAACAAGTGCCTGAAGTCTAAATAAAAAGTCACAGAATCTCTAGAATGATTGAAAAACGAGTACTTAAACTATAATAACTCCTACCATGCACTAACATTCCAGATGAGCAAGGACATACTATGTGACAAAGTTTCAAAAGCTGCATTCACTGACACCAACAAATACCCAAAAATATCGAAAACACACCAATGTTAGAACCAAAATTTCCGTTTGGTAAATCGCTAACACTCGCTAGAATCCATTCGAAGTGCGGTATTAGAGGTCTTCAAACGTTGGATGCATAGATAAAAAACACAACTACGCTTATATTTACGTTCAATTTTTATTCTAACCTACTCACATCACATTTGAAGAAATTTAATACTACTCTCACAGAGAAAGCTCTTTCTCTCTCTCACTAATCAATCGATTTAGAGTCAAAACTATGTGCATCGCGTACACCTTAATAAGCTATGAATACCTTGAGAAGAGTTCGAGTTCATACCTTTTTGCTGCCAAGATACTGTATTCTTACGGCTTTTTAACACAATCCACTTGTCCTTCTTGGGAATACCAGGAAAACTAATTTTGGAACTTTGGAGAAAGGCAGGCCTTCATGAGAATAGTTTACTGTCAACGATTCGGATCTTTTGATCTGCTCGTATCCTGAAATAAGAACATCGAATTTGCTAGTCTATTATATAAGAGATGTAAAAGGCACGCTTCTATATAATAACTATATTTTAGGATGCAAATAATGAATAGATTTAAAACTTTCACAATACATTATTCTCGTTCAGATCTATCTCTGTCCAAAGTTTCAAGTTGAAAGCCGAAAATCAGTTTTGCTAGTAAATGAAGTAGCAGTCCTGTTTGAACTATTATACATAATTCAAGCAAATTGTCCTCTTTTTCTTGCTGTTGTCATATTTAGGTATCAGTACAACTTTTTCCATTTAATCCATGTCGACAAGGTCTTCGTACAAAATATTTGTTTGTTTTTCAGCCACTTAGAACTAAGCTGAGAAAACGCAAAATAGTCGGCAAGAATCAGAATTTGATTTACTCTCTAAAGGTGTATTCAAATTTTTTTAAACATGAAACTGAACTATTGAAAGAAAATCTTTAATGGAAACTAAAAATGACATCTGTGGAGAACATTCTATGTAGTCTATTTTTGTATTTTGATTACAATTGACTCAATTCAAATTTTAGGAATGTGTTTTTATACACCAGTTGGTAGAACGAAGCTTGCTCTATGAAATGCCCAATTTGCTTTGCTTTCTACATATCGTTACAGACTATCAAAATCTGTCGTATTTTTAAATATTGAAAATCGAAAGCAATGGTTATTTTGACAAATCTCATTTCATATAAAGAGTAGCATTTCGAAAACGGTTTCTAGGTTTTGATTCTTTTGAGTTCTAGCTTATTGCGACCCATGATTTTGTAAAACATTATATTCTTTACAGCAATAGGAAATAAAGGTTATCTCAACATATCCTCTAGAGAAACTACGAGTGAAAAGGAAAAGAGTCTATTGGCGTGGTGCAAACGACATTTTTATTAATTCAGGTATTTGCTTACACTTAACTAGCTATAGGGCACAAATTCTAAAGATATATTTAGAAAGAGCATCAAATTCTAAGTCTACATGACTATTTTTGATCCTGTTCAATTACATTTAAATATTCGAAAAATTAGCAAATATATTTCTCATTACCTTTCAAATTCGTGTTTTATACAATGTCATTTCTGGTCTCCATCAAAGATTTGCTCTCAATGATTCAATTTCAATTTAGAAAAAAAAATTTGAATACACATTTAGAGAGAGAATCAAGTTCTGATTCTAGCTGACTATCTTTCGTTTTCTCAGCTTACTTCTAAATGGCGGATAAACGAACAAACATTTTGTATGAAGACTTTCTTGGCGTAGGTTATTCTAGAATTGATATTACGCAGTTAAAACTTCATTCATATTCGAACTCGAATGAGGCAACTTCTGCGTAAAATTATGTATATGACCATCCTCAAGATACTTAGAATTCCTGACAATAACGAGATAAGACAAAATACACACTATGTTATTGTTAGTTCTGGTACTTTTCATTACGAATAAGTCGTCTTTGTGTTATTTCTTTTTGTTTCAAAACCTGATTATTGAGATATTTGTCTTATTCTGCATCTCATTTAAACATTTTTCTGACTTTTCCTTTTTTATGTATATAGGGAAAGCTAAACGTATATTTTCTCATATTTTTGATGAAAACTAATGCTCTCGACATCATTAAATAATATAGAATGCATGATCAAAATTGATAGGAATTGCGTAAAAATATGAAAAACTGCGCGTTTGATGTATTAATAATCGATTAAAATGTCCGTTTTATAAGCATAAAATGTCATTTTTCTGTGGAAACTTTTCATTAATATGATGTGGAACTAACTATTTTTTCCATTTTTCACCGTCCTGTATATAACTTGGTATACATCACTGTCCATTTTAGAAGTGTTATGCATGACAATAGGTAATAGCGTGTTTCGCAACTATTCACTAGAAAATGAACATTTACTTTTCGGTAAAAATCCCAAAGCTGCTCATCAGATCAACCATTCGAATACCATTTCGATTTGCCTAAAATATGTGCAAGAGTAGCAATAAAAATAAAAAAAAAAACAAATTGTGTCTTTTTACTTTAGATGCATAAGTCGGTCCAATACCACACTTTGATGTATCAAGCCTATAATAGTTTCCCCCTATCAAATGTCTTCTTAACCACAATTTTGGTTGCTTTGACGACTAATTACTTACCAATTCTTACCACGTCTCTGTTCCAACAATAAATCAATCTGCTTATGAAAGTCGAAAACTAAATCATGTCTTATGATGAAATCTTACACAAAAAAAAAATGAAGATGATTCTTACCGAGATGAGCTCGATCCGATATAAAAAACCGTTTCGACCAATCGGCGATTCCACGAGATTCCATACTTTTAATTTCGTCGACTAATTCTGGCAGATTAACAACACATCCATTTCCAATAATATTAACACAGTGACTCCAAGCAAAGCCGGATGGTAACATCCGAAAATAGTGTTTGACACCGTTTGCTACGACAGTATGACCGGCATTGTTTCCTCCCTTGAATCAAGTAACAAGGTAGCACACAAAAAAGTAACAACAACTGAAAATAAATTTACTTGGAAACGACAAATAACATCCGCCTCAGATGCCAACAGATCGACTGCTTTGCCTTTTCCCTAAAATACACCGGAGTCGTATCGGAATCTGTAGGACTACCAACACAAGCAGACGAATTTGTATTTTTTCCACACTACAAATCACTGCTACTCAGAAAAAACCAGAGATAAGTAGCGCCAGTCGTATCGACTCCGACTTCGGATCCAGTCTCAATTACGATTTGAAAAAGTCAGATTCTGCCATAATTTAGGTTTATGATGAAACCGATTCCGGCAACGAGTTCCAGACTTGCTCAGATCCTTCTTTTCTTTCCTCATTCTATTTTTCAACCTTTTTTGCGTCGTTTACAAGTTTCGACAAATATCATCTTATGCTAGAAAATAAAACCGACCAAACGCTTAGTAAAAGCTAAGTTGAGAAATGTAAAATACAAAAGACGCTACCAGTTGTCCTATTGTCAGTTTACACTACTGCTCAAAAGTATTCCCCTCGAATCTGCGTCTTTATGAGAGCTAGACGTCTGAGAATTTCTGTGCAAGTAATCCACAGCAAATGTAAGTTAACAATACCATCAGTACCAAAATTACTGAAGCTAAAATGAGGTTATTATGAGTTGCATACACGATCATTGTGACTCTCGTAACTTGAGAATAAAAAAAGTCTTTTAAGTCTGCAAATTCCTCATGGTGTAGCCCTGTATGATCTGTAATTTTGGTATAAATGTTATCAGTTTCTATCTAGTAATTGATGAACTGGATTATTTCGATTGACAATATGGATGTACCAAAAAAGTAAATGAGCTCATCTTTCGATCAATGAACAACTATGAACTGGGCTACATATTGACGTTAGAAGATCAATAATTACTCGTATATTAGTTCAAAACTGAGACATAATTTAATAAGTCTATTTTTCATTATCTTTCTGTCAAGTGAAGGAAACGTCTTCATATGTCAAAATTTGACTAGCAAAAATTATTTACATGGTTTGAGGCTTTGAGTTTGAGGAAACGATAAAAACTAGTTATCTGCGTTAGAACATACAGCATTGGGACTGAAACTGCTAAAAATTGTATTAAAAATGCTTTAGTTAAGTTCAATCATAGCTATTTCTAACAAATGCCCTCCTCAGTCTTAATAATATCATATTTCTACAACATTATACAAGTCATGTGCCGATATAGCATGATTTTCTATAAAATTACTGCCGAGAAACTGGCTACTTCTCATTTGCGAACGTAAATTAAATCAAGTTTAAACAGAGTTAAAATGTTTTTAATTTTCAGTTAATTATTAAATTATTAAACTTGTCAAGCTTATTGAAAACAATTAATTTTTTTGCAAATAGATTGTCAATGATTTGACTAATGAGAATACATCTAGAAAATAAATTTTTTAAAACTTATAATTTGAAAAATCTTTTTATAGTGGAATTGCTGCATCTTGTAGAGTTCGCTAAATAACTTTTTATCTTTTTCTCTTAACTGACTGTAATTTATAGAGGACGTCAGCTATCTATCAGGATGAGGTTTTAAATCGAATAGAGTTGGTGTAATTAGTAGAGATCGCTAGCTAGGTATGCGCAGAGATGGGCAAGTCAGCGAATTATTTACATCAGTCAAGTCGAAGTCATTCTTCGAAACTCTCAAGTCAAGTCAAGTCAAGTCATGTCTTAGAACTTCTCAAGTCGAGTCAAGTCAAGTCGCGTGTAAAAAATCTCAAGTCAAGTCAGTTTTTACTTGAGTTAAATCGAATCGTATTCCAATCACCACAAGTTCGATATTCAATTTATTTTCATAAAATTTTCATTTATTAATGAAAAGATTAGATACAACGCTTTCGCCGTATTTGCGAAAAAAAATCAATTTTTAACTAATTTCATGATGAGACCAAAGTAGTTGAGGAAAAGGAACATAATTTCTTCAAGGATAAACTTGTATTAACACATTCGACCCGATGAGACCCACCGGTGGATCTCATTATAGGATGCCTTGAAAGATCTTTGAGCGCAGAAAAAATTGAATATCTCTGCCATGTTTTGACCAAAAGGCGTGATTCTTTTACAACTTTTAAATGGATGTTCATAGCTCATATTCACAAGAGAAACGTTGACGAAATCTTTTTTGAAGTATTACATCTGCCACAAATATAGAAACAATGCCTTTCAAGAATTATGAAAAAACGATATTCATATCGTAGCGAATGTGTTAATCAGCTGGAGTTTTCTTTGATGTTTTGATACGACTTTACAAATTTCTCATTTTATTCCAACATAAAATTGTTCTGTGACAATATTTACTGTTTGTAGTTTTCTACTACATTTCAAATTAGAAATTAACAGTAAAGTGCATAAAACACCTACATACATACACATTTTTGGACTTGACTTGCGACTTGATTTTATACAAAACTCAAGTCAAGTCAAGTCATTTTTCGACTTGAATCAAGTCATACAAAGTCAAGTCATTCGCCTTCAAAAAATTTTCCAAGTCGAGCCAAGTCAACTCATGCCCTAAAAATTTTCAAGCCAACCTCAAGTCAAGTCCAAGTCGAGTAACTTGTGACTTGACTTGACTTGATTCAAGTCAAAGATGGACTTGACTTGCTCATATCTGGATATGCACCAAATATGATTCCTAGATCTGACTAGAACTGCATTTGGATTTGACCGAATTTGACTAGATTCGACTTCGATTTGAGTTCGACATAATTGGATGTGCCTCATAAGCACTTTTAGGCTATACATAGGGACACCCATAAATCATCAGAGACTATACAATGGGATGTCCATGACCCTTCATAGCTCAAATAATTTATATAGGCTATGTAAGATCATGGGTACCACATTGTATAGTTTATAGTGACTTATTAGTGCCTCCGTGACACAGTTGACGCCTAGTCATTCAGCAAACCTAGTTCAATCAAACTGAAACCCAGTCAAATGTTCTCAAATTCAAGTAAAATCCCGTCGGACTCAGTCAAATTCAAGTCAAACTCGGTTAAATCTTGCCAAATCTAGATATGCAACCAAGGGAGAAAAAGCTCATTCCGAGCCATTCGAATAGCCAAGGGGGAACAAACTGATTTCAATCGCTGAAATCACTTGAAAACACCTGAAATCATCTGAAATCATCTGAAATCACTTGAAATCAGTTTGAAATCACCTGAAATCACCTGAAATCAATAGAGGCCAGTCATATTCCCTCGACTGAAGGGAGGTCATATGAAAAAAAAATTGTTTGCTTGTTTGTTTGCTTGTCGTCGGGTCAGAGGTGAAGTTCATTTAGACGTAACTTGTAAAGTTCCACCAAAGGCATCCAGGTCTGGAAATCCGGATCTTAGGTCAGATTTTACATCTGACCATTCCATTGGCTAACAAGCCGACCAATCAGAAATGAACTTTTTTGTTTTAAGCTTTTTGCGCCTTTTGATAGAAGTTTACTATAGGTTATCGAGGGCCAGAATTCCGAATCTGAGGTCGGATCTTGTATTCGACCTTACCATTGGCTAGAAAGCTGACCAATCAGAAATGAGGTTTTTCTTTTTAAGGTTTTTGGGCCTTTTCATGAAAGTTTACTATAGGTTATCGATGGCCAGGATTCCAAATCTGAGGTCGGATTTTCTGTTCGACCTTCCCATTGGCTAGAAAGCTGACCAATCAGAAATGAGCTTTTCTATTTTTAGCTTGTTGGGTCTGTTGAGGAAACTTTACCGTAGGTCATCGAGAGCCAGGATTCCGAATCTGAGGGCGAATTTTACATCCGGCCTTCACATTGGCTAAGAAGGTGACGAATTAGAAATGAGTTTTTTTGTTTTAACCTTTTCGAGCGTTTTGATGAAACTTTATTATAGGTAGGCGATGACCAGGATTCTGAATCTTTGTTCGGATGTTAGATGTTAAAAATGTTGACGGAAGTAAATCGGTGTCGAAGAATCCGAATGTGAAGTCAGTTTTTAAAAACTCTGAGTGTGATTTTTTCAGTCAAAGAAAGGGTTTTTGAAGAAAATAACGATATTTTAGAAAAGTTGGTAAGCCTAAATCGGTGTCAGAGCATTCAACTCTTTATTATATTGCTGGAAGTTTGCCGCTATAATTTTACAATCAGGGTAACTTTTTTTAAGGAAACAATATATTTTCGGTGTATTGAACATTAAGTAGTATGAAATAATATAAGCTTGTGATCTGGCAATGATTATGAGAGTAACGTATTCAAGTATGTAAGCTGGATTACAGGGTCGACTATCTCACTAGCGTAAACTATATCTGAGGTTTTTCCACAGTGTGAATATGAGATGTAGGTGTAAGGTAGAACAAGATCAACCCGCTCAGGCACATACTTACACCGACACCGACATCCACACCACAAAGTATTCCTAACATCCAAATTCATGTTTAAGTCAATAGGATATGATTAGCATCTAAGCCTGCTCGCATTGTCTTATTTCTGGCTTACTATTCCATTATTCACATTTGATTTTCAGCAGACGGTCTGATTCATGAAGTTTCTTTGCATTATGACTGGAAGAAGGTAATATAAACAAATATATAAAAATGGTGTCACATTTTCTTGCGATTAAAAGAGAATAACTAGCTTTTGCTCAGATGTGCTTAAATAATGGAGCGACTAGCCGTTAGTGGCGCTCCGAAGGGGCGCCCGACGGACGACTTGTCACTCCTATTGCAGGCTCAGTGTTGATCCGTCCCACAGATGATCATTTATAAATGCTTGATTTTTCTGAAGAATACTACACTAAGATTCTCTTAGTGAAGAATTTAAGTGAACCTCTAATTGGCGAGCTAGGCAAATTTTCGTGTTATAACTGTAACGATTTTTGGAACTAAGTGAAACCTAGAATCTGATATGGTATAAGTGAAAGAGAATG